GCGGCTTCTGTTGGCCAGGATAGAGTTTAAAGATGAACGTTATATACAAAATTTCAAAAATCAGTTCAATTAGACGGACCATGTTATCGTTTAGTATTCTTCCACGTGCATCCTTCCATTCTTCGTCATCGTCCATCGTCACGGTGTTTTAGATGCGTTTGGCTCATCGTCATGAATTAGTGTTCACACTGTCGCATCTCGGTATTAGAGGAAATAAAAATAAAACAACAAAAGAAAAAAAAAGAAGCAGATAAGAAAGAAAAAGAGGAAAAAAGACGTTAAGAGGCTTTTGTACTTGCGATTGATCGTCCTTCGCTTTGCTTAGTCTGACCGGAAGTGTAGGCGGTACACGATATATATACATGTTTGTTTATACTATACGGAAACGAAGCGAAGTTACACGTAAATTAGCTTGTCACGTGGCCGCTCGTCGAATACTCCCCGAGATTTCTCGTGGCTCACGCATGAAGGTTAGGGGTTCGAGCAGCCTGGATTTTTCTTTGACGATCATGTTTCTGACTAGGGAACGAATCAGTCAAACTCTCGCGATCATACGATTAATTATTTTTCTATTTGATTCATCGACGTTTCGAAAATTCTTGCGTACCTATTGCATTTCATCTGTCCAATGTAATCGCGTGTTAACCGTGTGTGTTACGATACTAGGTGATTTCCATGTAAAAAGCACGTTAACAAGCAATTCGTTGAACGACGATCGGTTATCCAAGCGAAATGCGTGAGTCGACGGAAGATCGTCCGACGAATCGGTCGTTGCACGGGTCGTTCTGTTTATTATATAGTATATATAAATATATATATATATATAAGCTAGTAGAGTTTAAGGTCATTTCATGATAATAGTATAATATACTGTTAAATTCATCTCGACGTCAGTAACAATCCTGTGACATGAAAAATATATAGCGTCATTTAAAAAAGTCGAGGTCACCTTGACTTTTTGTTACATGAAAAGCCTTTATTGAGATTTAGCAACGTGGGAACATGTAGCCCATGAAATACTACAAAACATTTCGTCTGAAACATTTTTTAAACCCACTACCGGAAATGCCTAAAAAATGGTGAGAAAACTTAATGCGGACACCCTGTATATATACAGTGTATGATATAATTAACTTTATTGGCATTAATTCGAGACGAATGAACTAGCCGTATCAAAGGAAAGAGAAACGAGTCAAATTTCTCGACGCATATACATATGTACACACTATACATACACATCAACAAGACTAACATGGTAGTTTTTAACATCGTAGATACAAATTATCGCCGCTGTTGTTTATTTCCATGATTGGTTCATCGTGTAGGTATCATTTAACGTAGTCGTCATATTGTTCGCGAAGGCCACACGTTAATGCCTATGTAGCTGAATTACTGCTCATCCCATTGTTTACCACCTAAAAGATATGTAACAGAGAAATCGGGAATAGATGGTGTGTGTATACATAATTGTTATAAGCGAGTAGTTCCTGCTCACTCTCCGAATTTCGCGGTGTTTTTCCATGTCCCCGAATTCCCTTTTGTCGATCGAAAGTATTCGCTAGATAATGAACAGAGAACGTAACACAAAGAGAAGAATATAAGCGTGTACCTTAACAAATAACTCATTAATCCGTTTCCGTTGATATCTATTCACCGGTACCCGCGCGTCATCTGTCAGCGATAGAGATGCGTGCGCAGCGTGCCCGTTTGTTCAAACGAACCACGTGCAAATTACACTCACCTATCACACAAACATCGAACTCTAAATTCCGACTCTAGATTCGCTTCTAGAGTTCCACGATTGACCATTGCGCGTGATTCGTGTGAATAACGCACAGGATGAAAGCGCAGCAATCGCACGTGACTGTCATAACCTAAAAGAACCCAAGAGTCAACCGTTCCAAGCGAGCCGTTTTATCCACTGTTATTGTTTACCATTCCATTTTACGATCAGGTATATCGAGTCGTTGGTAGATCAACGAGACACGTTACTTCGCGTACAAAGCCAGAGTATCTAAAATTAATTACGCGATTTATTCGTTTAACCTGTCAGCTACTAGGAAGCGTATTCCCTGACGCGAGGAACTAGGCCTAGGAAGCTGATTTTAGCGACACTAGTTCCGGACGGAAGTAGCTTTTTAGCGTGCACCGGTGCAGGAGAAGCTCGTTAAGCGAGGCGTCTTTGCACAACGACGGAGGTGAAATTAAACCTAGACAAACGACGGCAAAGAGAGAATGTTCCTAGCGCATCACGATGCGCTGTGTACACACAGACATGTCATCTGTGTGTTTTCATTCGGTTGCCGCTGTTAACAGACGGAACGGACTTTCACTTGAGTATTAAGTCTGCGATGAGTTGGTCGGCTGAGTCAGGCTACCTCGTAGACAACGAACAGCGGAATTATCGTTATTATATTTCCAGTAAGGCCATTTTATAGCGGGCAACCGCGCGCTGCTGCCTCTGTTTTACGACGAGAAACAGAATTAGACGATCATAAAACGTTACTTTATAGATGATCGAAATTGCACGTTACCGAGATCGAGGGAACAATTAGCCAGACAGGGGATAATAGAGGGATGGATTCTGGGTTCGTTGCGTTTAGTCGTTGTCGGGTCGGTTGCTGAAGGATCACGACATTGATGAGGTACTGTAGAATACATGATGAAACTGAAGATCCAGGAAAGATGTTTGACACCTAGCAGACGTGAGGAGGGGTGCATGTCGTACTTTACAGAACTGTCGAATTGTTTGTTCAAAGATGTTTAACTTTATTATAGCGAGGTTATAAAAGTCATTAATTTCACTTGATTTAGCTTTTTACAGATTAGCAGGTTTACATACGATTAGTGTTCTGTCCTAATGTATTACAAGCAATATAGCCGTAGCTAGGCACTCTATTTTCCTCGGAGATGACAGGTTAACCTAATAATCCCCGCGATGATTCGTTTACGTTAATGCGTGTAAGAAATCTCGTAGCATACGAATGAACATCATTGCGTAGATGCATCCGTGCAATAAAGTCCGATATACTTCTAGTGGCATAAATGTTAACCATGAAACGGCCACGGCCACTTACATATCATACACGGTGCATTGCAACTACCGATGCAACGGAGAACCTATACATATCATGACGCGTGCTCTACATACATATACATATATATTAGGTACATTAGCATGTAAGGTAAAGGAGCTACTTACGTAAGAAAGGAAAAATATGACAAAAGAAATGAACAATATATAAGACACGTATATACGTATGTATTATTTATAGCGTGGTTATCCTCTCGCAAAAAAAACAAAAAGGAAAAGGGATCGATGGGTTCGTAGCTCCGCGGAGTTAGGGGGACACTCTTCATTTTCTGTGAGCTGCGAGTGTCTTCCTAACTTCTCTATAGTTTCGAGAGTACCATCCAGAGATCTGTCCTGAGGATAAGATGATTCGAGGCTCGCGTGTCTATCGCTAGCGTTATAGAGCCGAGAAAAAACGATGTACGAATGATAGGCTGCCTGAACGCCGAACACGAAACGTTCAACCGAGCTGGCTGGTGATGCGAACTCGTTAATAATTTCCAGTGTTACAGGTACGCAATGTTCTACGACTACTCGCCTGCTTTGAAATGGAATCGCGTACCTAATGTTACTGTAACCTTCGTCCTATCTCGCAAGCCTGGGACGCCTACCTATTATAGAGTATTATTATGTGTAAAAAATAAAGAAAAGAAAAAAAATCTGAAGAAAAACCAAAGAAAACGCCCGACTTGCCCCGTAAGAGCATATCCATGTATATGTATTTACGAAAGCGTTACCGGTATTGTATTATACGACATATTATACGTGTATAATTGAGAAACTGAACGCGATGTTGATTGTAAATGTCAAAAATAAAAAGTGTACAAAAAAGCCAAACTATTCGAATTCATTTAACGATTATGCCAAAAAGAACAAGATCACTCGTCCCCGTCAGTTTCCAGAGTCAGAGAGTTCAGAGAGTTGAAGGGATCTTGTGTTCCTCACGTGGATACGAGATCCTAACCTGGTCGATGTTCATTCCGAAGGAATTTTCCCTATTCTTAGAGAAACGTGTATTCGTATGCCGGTCATTCCAGGAAGCAAATGACAATTAGGTCAGGACACGTGAGTCCTGATATCGATACGCGTTTTTAGCTAGGTTACGACGGAAATAGAAAAAGCTCTTATTTATTCATGCCTTGCCGGTATTCGAGTTAGGGAATCGATAAATCGACCGACCGACTACGACGCCCAACTAACCCTGCGGTAAGCTGAATCATCTTATATATATGGACGCTGGTCTTTATCCTAGGTACAAAGGGTAGGTCGTGTCGCAATGAACTTCCAACTGCCAGCGATTACGTTTCTTTTTCCAGCGTAGCGGCTTTATTAGTACAAAAAGCATTTTTACAAAATAAATAAATTACAGGCTCTGAACGAGGAACGAACTTGTCTCGATCTCACACATTCCTCCTCTCTGACTTCCCTGCTTCTTCCAGAGGCTTTCGTGCGTGCGATTCGCTTCTTTCGATTTGATGGTAAATATTATCAGCAGATGACTTCCTAAGAGCAAGCAGGAAGGGGGTGTAAGCATATTGTCCTATCCTGAATCTTTCTGAGTTTCTCGCGTGTCCTTTCCTTCCATCTGCTTTCAGAAACACGCCTGCTCTGATGCACACTGAAGTTCGTCGCAAGGCAGTGGCAGGTACCGCGTTACTGTTAAACTTTTAATGCGGACTCGGGATGCTTCGGGGATGATTTCATATTGGCGAGAATGACCTCCGATTCCGCTTCGTTCCTTCTCGTTCCATCGGCAGATGTTCCGTTGGACTGATAAAGCTTGGCAGGGTTTCGAGTGTTTGTTTCATGCTTGGATCGTGGTATGGAGGATGTCGATGCGTTTTTTCTCTTTTGACTCATTCGATGGTGGTTGATGATTAGTGAAACATGGTCGAAGGTCGTCGCGCGGGGTGAAGACTTTTTGCGATTAATATTGGTAACCTCCGTTGCTAGCATAGCTCTGGCCACCTCCTCCTCCGGAGTAGCTGCCGCCACCTCCTCCAGAGTAACCACCTCCGCCTCCTCCAGAGTAGCCGCCTCCGCCACCTCCAGAGTAACCACCTCCGCCGCCTCCAGAGTAGCCACCACCGCCTCCGGAGTAGCCACCGCCGCCTCCGGAGTAGCCTCCACCGCCGCCGGAGTAGCCACCATTCCCACCGCCGCCGGAGTAGCCGCCGCTACCACCACCGGAATAGCCGCCACCTCCACCGGAATAGCCACCGCCGCCTGAGTAGCCTCCATTTCCGCCTCCGGAGTAGCCACCACCACCCCCTGAATAGCCACCACCGCCGCCCGAGTAGCCACCATTGCCTCCTCCAGAGTAGCCACCACCGCCTCCAGAGTATCCACCTCCGCCTCCAGAATATCCACCAGATCTGAAAAACCATGTCGACGTGAATATGAAAGTACTATAAGACGGTCTCTCATGTGAGATATCGTGTAAGAGATTATGAGGTTGCGAAGAAAGATGAGTTTTCTGAATAAGTGGAAGACGTATGTAGGTTATAGATATGCTTTGATATTCGTTCTGAGAAAGATATGTATACCGTGCTTGGTCTAAGTGTAATTGTAAACGAGTAAGAAAGAAATATGATTTTTACCCGCCGAAACTGCCACCACCGGTGCCAGGTGTGCCGTAAGTCGAAGATGGTCTCGAGAATCCGCCACCGCCTCCGCCAGGAGCTCCGTAGCTGCTGGATATGCCACCACCGCCAGCGCCAGGTGCCCCATAGCTCGAGGAGATCGAGCCACCTCCGCGAGATGGTGCACCATAGGTCGACGAGAGTCCGTTACCGAAGCCACCGCCACCTCCGGATGAAGGGGCGCCGTAAGTGCTAGAGGGTCTTCCCCCACCACCGGATGGTGCACCGTAAGTGCTCGAAGGTCTGCCACCGCCGTTGGAAGGTGCTCCGTAGGTACTGGATGGTCTTCCGCCGGATGGAGCGCCATAGGTACTAGACGGTGCTCCATAGGTGCTGGATGGTGCCCCGTAGGTCGAGGATGGACGACCACCACCACCACCACCACCACCGCCGCCGCCGCCACCTGATGGTGCACCATAGGTGGAGGATGGTCCTCCGCCTCCTAAGTTCGGTGTCCCATAGCTTGTTGATGGTGGTAAGTAGCTACCTGAGACTGGTGCTGTAAAGACACGTTTCTCTTTACATCTAATTTGCACTTTAATTTGTTAGGTCACTATGGATGATGGAATAGACGCTTGATTATTGGATCATTCCGAGGTGTCGCGAAAATTTCTTATTCGCTTATTTTGAAAATTTTTGTCAGTAATTCTGGGTGGTTGTTTCGTTGAAACGTTGTCGAGTATAATATGTGCATATTTTTTGTGTAATGAATAGTTGGAGTGTTCGTTACTGATTAGGTTCAAGCGGGTTGATCTAAGTTGACGAGCTTAGACTAGTTATATTGCAGTGCTGTATATAAAATTCATACTAATTTCTTGTACATAGTCTTTTGTTCTAAAAGTGGTGTAACGAAAGTTTTAAGTTGTATTGTAACTATGGATTGCTTTTTGGATTTTTCATTCATCATTTCTCATAGCGATGTTATCAGTTATGTTGATAAATCTAGCTCGTAAAGAAATTGACGTTTCAAAATTATATCAGGTCTGTTGACCTTAATTCCGATTAATGTACCACGTTTATTAGGCTATGTTACGAGTACATTTTCTGTCGTTTAATAACGACTATTATTTTTCCAAGATTAGTCAGTTCCTTCGCAGTTTCTTTCATGTAAAAACACAGTACTTGACTTCTATGGCGTAGAATTAATTCGGTAGCATTGTCTCCGCGATTCTCAAAATTGGTAAAGGAAGATCGTACGACGTTAAAAGATCATAATGTCCTTTTGTCTTCGTATTCGTCATTAGTCGGTGAAAGTGTGGGAGATTTTCAAATGATTTTGCTTTCGTGATTATCCCGTGCGACCGTACTTTGCGACTTCACACTGTGTTCTCTAAACTCATCTACAACCTTCTCGTCGAATCTGCTGAGGTACCACTAGCTTTGAGATTGTCGAGGTCAAGAGCCACGATCCATTCGCATTGTATTTAATCAAGTTCGTGACTGATCTTACCTCTACCGTTCTTTGTTTCATTGCTTGCGAGATCATTGCCGGAAGAATAGTTGTAATTGAATATTCAAGGTTCTCTTAAAGACTTATTCTGTTATTTAAGTGCTGCAATTTTACTTTTGCTCTATACAGTAAAACGAATAAAAATTTTACCTTCTTTTTTAATGCAAATTCACTTCTTCCATTCTAATTTGCTTATCTCGATAAAGAAATTTGTTAGTATCAATTAAAGAAATTAAATTAAAATATTCTACTTCTTAGATATGGAATAACAAATATTTGGAATCTTGCATTTATTTCGATCTTGTCAAATATTTTATCTGGTTTTTCAATGCATGACGTACCTTTTCGATATTAATTAATTTGTATAATAAAACGAATAAAAATGATATCTTCTTTTTTTAATGCAAATTTACTTCTTCGATTCTAATTTGATTAGCTTGATAAAGAAATTTGTTAGTATCAATTAAAGAAATTAAATTAAAATATTTTACTTTTTAGATATGGAATAACAAATATCTGGAATCTTGCTTGCATTTATTTCGATCTTGTCAAATATTTTATCTCGTTTTCCAATGCACGAAGTACCTTTTCGATTTTAATTAATTTATTTCGATAAGCAATTTTGTCACGACTGATCAATTTAATATTTATTAAAATATTGTACTAAAATATTATATCCTTCATTAAAATGTTATACAGAAATATTACTAAAATAAATATTGTACTCTTTTACCTAAAATATTATTAAAATAAATATTATATCCCATTTTCCTAAAATATTGTACTCTTTAGACACGAAATAATAAATATCCGGAATTTTCGTTGCACGTACTTCGATCTTGCCCCAAACCTAAATTACACACAATCTGTTGCATAATAAATGCTATGTATCATAATTTTTCACCTAAAGTGAAATTTGGATACTCAATTAGGCAAACGCGGAAGTACTTACGCGATTATCCTTCGTTACAAATAATCTAAGTTTCCGTTAATAAAATTGGTATCAAAAGTAGTTTACAAGATCGTAACTGGATTGTAACGATTTTTATCGAGGAACTTGCTTCGAGACGTGTCATCAATCGTGTATTTAATCATGTGTCAACATGGAAGTAGAAATTTCATTAATAATTTCTATTTCCTAGTGTCAACATGGAAAACTCTATCCACTTTTCAAATCAACCGAAACGAAGATATTCAAAAGTTTATTTGAAGTTGCAGATTTCTACTATTAAGACAGGAGTAAAAGTTGCAATACTTCTTTAATAATATCTTCACTTTCGCAACACTGAAAGTCAACTGAAAATAATTTAGAATAAGACGAGTGACAAACTGTAAAATCTTCATCTAATAATTCTCTCAATCTTCTAATCCTGTATATTACTTAAAATAATGAAATTCAACAGCTAATTGCCCCAAATTTCTGTCACCAAGACGGAGATAAGAATAGATAAGATAAGAATTATAAAATTCGGTTGAAAATAGTACACTTGTAAAAAACATCGTGAATTATGCGATTCGCATTAATTGTAACCATAAAGTCATCGATAAATTTTGCTTTATATTTATTTTATGTTTATTGATAAATTATGTTTTATGATAAAACATATCTACGTATCTATGTATCTATCTATATTAAAATATCGTATATTTTACCATAACCGTATATAATAATTTACTGTTACCCCAACTTTACTATGCATCCCAAATAAAGAAGAAATACAATCATGCATACGAGACATTTCACTCCAAGAACTGTATTCCGACACATACTCTGATACGTGAAAATACCATAATATACCATAAGATACCGAAAAGTCTCTTCCACATGTCCGAATAACTAGAGCGTAAGTGTGATTCCAGGCTCGCTCGTGAGAAATTAATTTCACCAAATCGGTCTATACCCGGTCGCGATTGCCGGAGAAGTGTGTCAGGACACGAGATATCTGTTCAATTTGCACACCAGTCTACGTGCGATTCCATCGGAGAACCGTATCGATAATTCACAGCGTTTCGTCGTTTGAATATTTCATCGTCGCCCCCCGACGCGGTCACGACGATTTCTACTTCATTTTTTCCCGCGTCCTGATTTTTCAATTTCTCAGTTGATTTTCATTCACCAACGAGCGCGGGACGTCCACGAGGAGAAACTCACTTGCTGGATCGCGTGAGATTTATCTTTCACCCGCCTGAATCGGTGTAAAGTGATAGTCCCGCTACATCGCGCTAATCACTGGCACCTCGCTATCACGACTCTTCCTCTCGTCGCTTTTTGAAACTTTCTACTTTTTTCGTGGCTCTCCACTTTCTCCCTGCCTCGATAGTCATGCCATTTTTCTCGCCCAGCCATCTCCAGGGGTAATAACAAGGCTACCTACTCTAACTTTCTTCGTCCTCAACTTTTAGGCTAGACCTGACCAACTTCGGAATACGCTAGATTTGCATCGGGCAAAACTCAATCTTTGAAATTATCTTCAAATTTAATCTCAAGTCTAAAGAATCGCAGTTTCCTATATATTCTAGGATTCAACAATTTGTCAGTAAACTTGGATCATCGGGATTACGAAATTTGATCAAGATTCATAAGCCGAGTAATCGTAGAATTTTTCTGTGAACGTCTTACCCTCAGCGTAGATAGGTTGCAAGAGCAGTGCCGTAGCGAGTACGGTTGCTGCCAGGGGGGCCCAGCTTTTGGTGGGCCTCATGGTCCCTGACTGGTCGTGGAAGCTCGAAGGTAGAGCCGGAGCCGATTCACATGCACGAACTGTCCTTTCACCCCGAGAGAGGACTTCTCGATATACGATCACGTGTGTTACGCAGGAAGAATGGCGTAGAGGAAGAAGGGAAGAAGATCAACTCTGTGTGAGAGGCGCGGAGGCGACGTGGCCTGCTCGACGCATCCGTAAGATTTCGTCTAACGTGCTTCAAACAACGTCGATCTCGCTTATATAGTTAGCCGTCTTTCGGAGAAAGTCCTCACGGGAGTGCAAGAGGATGCTACCAGGCAGGCAAGAGTTCTTTGGTGAACGTGGGGGGCGAGTGTGGGGTGAAAGACAGTGTTGGAGGGGATCGGGAGGACCTGGTGGAGGATTGGCGAGAGATGCGCCGTGGTTGACCCTGGTCAGGCTGTTGTCTCCTTTTTTTCCTACACCTTCTTTGAAGTTAGCTTGCCTGGTCGGATTTATCTTTCCCTTTTTCTCATCGTGTTTGCCGTTCTTCGTTACCTTTTGTGTCGCGTCACGAACTTAAAGCTCCTGTTATGATAAATTGCCATAGACGTGGCCTTGATGTCATAGCTGATGGAGAAGAGCGATCAGGAGATGATGGCAACGATCACCTGAGGCACAGGCATGCATACTCATCGCGTACCAGTTATTCGACGTTTCGTCATTTTATTAAATATTTATGTAGATTATTCGTTGCACGTGAACTTTTCAGAGGCTGTCCATTGGCTTCAGACCCTTTTTGATAATTTGCATAGCGGACGAAGTGCAGGTTCTGATTAAGTGGATAGTTAGGGACAGAATATATACTAATAGAGGTAATATATATAGCAATATCAGTAATAATAGTAATACAGATAGTAATACAGATAACACGTATAGAGATGTGCATAATATATATAGTAATATAGCTAATATTACAGAGAATACATATAGCCATATAAATAACATAAGTTATAATACAATAATACGGATGATAATGCATATAATAATACAGACAACATGCATGTATATGGTAATTCTGATGATACTGCAGATAATAATATAGATAATATATGTAACAGTACCAATAGTAATGGACGTAGTATATACATAGCAATAGAGATAATACATATAGTATTACGAATAATACTATGCATAATACAAATAATATTACGGATAGTAGTATAGATAATACAGATAGTATTACCGGTAGTAGGACAGATAATACGAATAGTACTTACATACAATTACACATGTAATAATACAGATACAGGGTTATTCAGAATGACGTGCTACACGAAAGAACAATGCGTCTTCATTGTTAAGCCATATTCAAAAAGTAACGAAGGGTTGTTTGTTTTCTATCAAAATTACTTCTTGCGTGAATTTTGGGACATCCTTTATATAGTAATATAAATATAAATACTATATTACTTATATTAATATAAATATAAATATTACTATAGTAATATGGTAATATAAATTAATATTTTAGATAGTAATATAAATAATATGTATATCAGCAGAGGTGGTGGTACGGATAACAGATTGTATAATGATGCAGACACTAGACAGTAAAAACTGAACACAATTTGGTATTTTACCGTGGAATATTTCTCGAACGATTTGCATACCTAAATTAGAAGTGAAAATGTGCCGTTCGGGAATTCAATATTCATGTCATTGGCTCGAGTTCTTTATGCTGTAGCATTCAGAGCGCGAATTTAATTCTTATTGTTAGTCGAATTTTAGACACTCGTTTGTCATAGTCGTGATTCGAATATAACGAAGCCAAAAGTTCCTCTGCGTTGGAATATCGAGGAGGAAAGTGGTTGCATTCTTAATAGGACGTTTTATGCATTTTGAATTACAAGCGACGAACGTTGACCAATGCCACGTCAGGTATTACAGGAAACTATTGCTGTAAGTTTTAATTGCATTAATCCGATTAAAAGTTCGAAAGTTCGAACGAAAGTTCATTGTAACGTGTATTTAAACATGCGACAATTCTTGATTACTCTAATTAATTTTCGTAATACTTTGTTAACACGTAGACATTCGAGAATGAAAAATTGAGTATGGGAACGTTATGCTATTTGATGGAGATATTGAAAAATTAGCGTTCAATTAAATCGAGTAATTCTCTCAGTCTTGTAAGGAACAATCGTTTTGTTAATTACAATGCAAATTTTTATGAAGCTTGTTAGTTTATTGGATTATTTAATGGAGAATAATACATCAAGAAATTTATACGTGTAATTTTGGTTTGCATATTCATGAACTTACATTACCATAAATTATGCAATTTCCAATATTTATATTGAAACAGAAGATAGTTACATATCGACAGATTTTAATGTATATTTTAGTAAAATACTGTTTCATCATTTTTTGTATGATAATTTTTAAATTAAAGGTATGTAGTAGTATTTAAATTTAATATATTTAGTATATCAGTATATAATATACTATACTGTGTTTTTCTATACCATATTTACTATAGTAAATTATAGTAAATTATAGTATAGTACTATATTTATACTATATTATACTATTATTACATTATATTTGTATACTTTGTACATTTTAGCAGAACTGTCAGAAATTTACCAAACATTAAATTTTTTATTCAACAGGAACTATAAATGTGGAGTAATAAAATAAAAATAAGTTCAACGAATTGATTTTTTATTTCCAATACATCAAGAAATTAATAGCACAATAACACATCTGATCAGCATCATAGATTTTGTAGAAATTAACTCTTTTTAAATCACAAAATACAAAAGTATTATGAAAAATCCAAATATAAATAAATATGAAAATAAACATTTCATTTCTAACTAATTAACAATGCAAATCAATTCATCCCAAACCAATAGCAATATTTTAAAAAATATATATTTAAATGAACATCCAGATGAACAAAAATTCAGAACCATTTTTCTACGTACACCTAATCTGAATCTCTCATAAATTCCAGTATTAATTCAAAAGCGATATCAAACTACTTTCTAAAATAATAAAATTCCCGGTTAATCTCTTTCCAATTTTCCAGATTCCATCGAAAACATAGTAATTCCGGGCCTTTAATAGCATCTAATCAATTACCAATCACACGCAAACACGCAAAAATCTTTACCTTTCCTCGCAAGACAGGTAAAAACATAATCAGACGTATCAGACGGATGCTCGTTTCATTTAATAATCATGGACGATTAATATAAATTGCCTAGCGTAGCAGCAGTTACACCACATTTTTGCGCAACCGACAAAGGTTTATCGTGAGCCATGCTCCCGCTAAATTAGGATTAAGAAGCAACCCAACTGCATGGGTGAGCACGGCTAATGTTGCTACTTAAGCAAGCACTTGCCCGGAACACGTTTCGCTCTGACCCATTGCGATATACGGAGCACGGATGACGACGAGCATGATTTCTAGGCCGAGGACACGATCTGCCTACGTATACGTGGCCGTTCGCAAAATGACGGTATCGTTGATCGAATACAGATACACCTGGATGCTTCCCAGAAACGGACCAACAGCACATGCGATCTAGCAAATCGACATATTATCGCGAATCGCTCGTACGTCTGGTACCCCTTTTACTCGATCATCGTTGACTCGATGATCTACAGCATCCGATCTCAGCTGAGATCGCGGCTGGGCAATTTATTCGTCTGATCGGACGCTGCAAATTGGAGGAACTGACTGGAATACGATGCATCCAGTTCACTCCACACGATCCTACGTTTTATTTCCAGTCGCTGAAATCAGACGTTCTTCTTGGGCTCTATTGGAGAACGAATTTTCAGGTTCCTTCGTTTGGTGATGGGGGTTCCTCGTCAGCTATGAAAATACAGATGCGAATGAAGAATTGGAGTAAGGATTTTTAGCTTCCCATTGTCATCCTGTGCTCATTGATTGACAGTTCATCGACTCTATTCGTCACGATTTCATGTTACATTTTCAATTGTAAATAGGAATCCATGGAAGTATGAAAATAAAAGCACAGTTCCACGTCTGTTACAATACAAGTTTTTAGTTTATCATTGTATCTTCGTTTCCTTTGTTTGACGATGCTGCGTTTTATTCTCAATTACTATGAGAATCCAGTTTTAGGTTTACTGGAGCAAGAATTTTCAGTTTGTCATTGTTCTGCTAGAATACAAGTTTTTAGTTTATCATTGTATCTTCATTTCCTTTGTTTGACTCTGTTTTACTCTCAATTACTATGAGAATCCAGCTTTAGATCTGCTGAAGCAAGAATTTTCAAGTCGTCAATATGTCTCTGCTACTTTCATTCGATGACTACTTCAGTCATGATTTATATTTTGTTTTGTACTCCGTGTATGAAATAATAGAACCAGGAACTCAGCTTTGGATCTACTGAGGCAAGAATTTTTAATTCGTCATCGTGTCTTTATCCTCTATATTCGATGATGTAATAATTTCTACAGCCTTGGTTCTACGTTTTGTTCTTAACCACGTGTATGTACCAGTTGATGAAACCAGAGACTCAATTTCAGGTTTACCGAGGCAGGAATTTTTAATTCGTCATTGTATCTTTGTCCCCTTTATTTCATGATGCATCGATTTTACAGTCATGACTGTGTTTTATTAACTAGGTCTACGAGGCAATGAGATCATAGAGTATGCTTGATGACCACTGGAGCATGAATTTTCAGTCAACCTCTGTATCTCTTATTCGATGATGCATCCATCCTTTTCGTCACGATTCTACCTTTTACTTTTAACTATGGATCAATGGAACTAGGAACTTAGCTTCAGATTTTCTAGAATTTTTAATTACTATTTTATTCTTGACTATAACAAATGATGGAGTCAATGGGATCATGGAAACTCAGTTTTATGATCATCGAAGCACAAATTTTTAGTTAACCACCGTGTCTTTGTTTACTTTGTTTAATGATTGCTTTTCTTCATCACTATCCTAACCTTTCTGTCTCAATTAACGAGTCAATTTGTTATCATATTT